GTGCGTCGTTATTCCCTTATATAATACTTATTGAAGCATGTATTTCATATGGGTGTTGTAAATGAGTTAGAAGTGATTTAAAGAATGAGGGCAGATGTGCATAGATTGCATGCAAATGTTACACCATATTATATGAAGGGTTTAAGCATCTCTGGCTTTGATATCCCAGAGGTACTTGAACCAGATTGCCATGGATCCTGAAAGATTCCTGTACATTCCAAACCCAGTCTTACCCTCCCCCCAAAATTGAACACTCCACGGTGACATAGATTCCCCATTCCATTTCCTGAACACTGCCTCAGGATGTTCCTAGTTTATATGCAGGTCAATGAACTCAGACCCTCCAGAAATCCTCAAACTTCTGCATCCACCCAGTGCTCCCCATTTCTCCATTTCTTCCTCCTCCCATCCAGACATTGCCAATCTCTCCATAATCCTGTTTCCATTGACCTAACTGTCAGGTCAGATTACAATCCATATTGTGTCCCTAGATGAATTAAATCACATTTTCCAGGCATACAGAGTTCAGTGGCATTGAAACAAGCTGCTTCAAAAGAACATCCTGGAGCAGCTGTATCCCTGCTTCATCATTACCTTATGGTCCCCTCTTTCTCTCTTAGCACAATACTGACTGAATTTTCATTTTGTTAAAAAAAAAAAACCTTCAAATAATTTTCTTCACAGTGGAGAGGGTATAGAGTACCTAGCTTGTTTAGCAAAACCTTTTGGAAGAACCATGCAAGAGCCAACATTTCTCACAATCTCGTGGCTGGAGGAAGGGGGAGAAAGAGCTCTCGCTTGGGGTCAGGCTTCTGTTAGATAACTAGGTCCTTCTTCCAGAAGATCCTTTAGGGAAGGGGCCCTCAGTAATTTTCCTTCATCCTCCGTCACAGGCTTTCACAATACTGGCGGCAGGAAATGATTTCTTAATATCCACTTTTAATTCCTCTGACATCAGCAACCTGGACCTGTGACCTGCCTCTGATTTCCACAGTGCCCATCACCCTCTCATCCTGGATGAATGTCTCCACCTCCTTCATCTAGCAGGCCTGAAGACCTCAGGTTCCCGAAGGGGCCAAGATTATTCCAAAGGAAAGAAAAGCCAGCCAGGTTAGAGACTGGAGGGTGAGGACTGAGGCTGACCAAAAGGTACCTATTCTGTAGACGGAGAAGCCATACTCTAGATTGTGAGTGGAAACATTGGTCTCAGTGGGCCTAGATCTTTCAGTCCTTTTTCAAAAGAGACTTTGTGTGAAACCTCCACCCTTGTGCTCTGGCATAGGCAGCCTTTGAATATATCGTTTTCACCTCTTCTCCAGACCAGGACTTCCATGTCTACATGCCTGTAGCCGGCATGACACTTGATGCATAATTCTTCCCCCAAGTATTCTTAAATAAATCAGACAGCAACTGCATCTCCTGTTCCTGACAGATAGAGGGTGGCTCCCTGGAGAGCTTTGCTAGCTCAGCTGAGTTTCCCCAAGGGGCTCCAGTAAGTGTCCTTCAATGCCCCTGAACTTGAAGTTCATAAAGGTCATAACGAAATTCCTTAAATCTATTGTCATTGGTATATTAAGCATGTCTTGGCTTCAACTTTTCCCAGGACATCTACGAAGTACAAGAATTTTCTTAATTGATTATTTTCAGAACCTCTTCTCCCCCACCTCTCTCTTAATCATTTTTAAATGATTGGTTTCTACATCAACCCAGATGACAATGCGTTCCAAACTGGAAAGCTCCCATAATTTGCTCTTACAGTTCTGTGTACAATCTGCGTGGAAAAAGTACACACAGATAAGGAATAACTGGAGAGTGTGAAAACATAAAACAGCACATATCATGGAGCCCCAGGAAAGGAAACAGATAAAGTGGGACCCAAGTAGAGAAAGCCTAGAATAGCCCAGGCTGGCCAGCATCCATGGTGGAGAGACTCTCCACTCTCAATAAGAACTGCAACTGCTTCCAAGTGTTGCCCTGCCAAGGTCCTAAAGCGAAGTCTCCCTTTGGCTGGCCTCCAGGGAGAAGGCCGGTGTGAGGGTTAAACAGCCACAAAGGCACTAATTGTTCCAGGGGAAACAGCACACTTTCCAGCCCTCCTCTTGAAGAGCTTCGGCCTTCTCTCCTTCCCAGGGAACAACAGATGAAGTGCTCTTCTGAGGGACTGCCCAGAGCTGAGGGCCATCGGCCAGAGAGGAGTCAAAGGGACAGGACTTCCGGTGCAACGTGTAATTCATTTGCCAGTGGCAGCAGAAAATTCAGAACTTATGGGAGAGACCGAGAGAGATCTGGCTTGGTAAAGAATCAACGGACCGAGCGACACAGAAGCTACCAGAGTCTAAAGTGCTCTGGCCCTGGGTTCTAGCTTAACATGACTGCCCATAGAGTGCTCATGATGTCCCTGGGCTGGTGGGATGTACTTCACAAACTCAGGCTGAAAGGTGTGTGTGTGTGTGCGTGT